TGAAAATAAAGAAAGACAGAGACATAGAACGACACATAGAGAGAGAACAAGAAACCCTGAGGCTCGACGACTAGGAGTGACAAAGGGGGAGTGAGAGTGAAAGCGAAGGAGAAAGAGAGAGGAACTGAGAAAGAGAAAAAAAAATTAGATAGAACTAAAGTTACAGAATTGGAGTGAAAGAGGAAGTTAAAGAGATAGAGAGCAAGAAAGAGATAGTAAGAGAAAGAGAGAATGAGAGTGTGGGTAAAAGAGAGGCGGAGATTCAGAGTGAAAGCTCAGACGATAGAGTATTGGTGATACTCACAGAAAAGGAGAGAGGGAGAGAGACTCAGAAAGAAAGTTAAGGAGGTAGAGCATTTGTGAGACTCACGGAAAGAGAGACAGAGAGAGAAGAACAATGTTCGAGGGAATATATTATATAGGATATATGTAGATGCAAAGTTTTGTAAGAACTATAAGAGCTATTCGCATATAAGTATTGTATATTCCCCAACTTCAAGCTATGTTCCGTAATTCTCTCAAATACAAAGAGAGTATCAAAGCTTCGCTAGCTGACTCACCCTCGCAGCTTGCTCAAACTTGTTACATCTAAATCTAGAAGCAAACGGCTTTAAAGTCGAGTGCTAGCTGGCATTGAAAGTAATCAGATGAAATGTAAAGGCATTCGACTTTTCGTGCGCCGCTACCGATGAAAACTCTTTATGATAAACAATGCGAAATGTATCCATCCCATCGAAGGAGTACGGCCGAGGGCCGGGCGCAGCCAAGCAAGTTAACTCGCTCGATAATCGAAAAGAAATGTATGCTAAGTAAATTACGAGATGCCCAATTGCTCAATTGCTTGACACAGTGGGACGCGGACGACAGACGGGCGTAGAGACGAACAGTCGGACGGCCTCGGAAAGAGGATTTGAGGACAAAGTTTAGCATTCGCTCGACTCGAGCGAAACCTTCAAATGGCCATCATGTGAATGGCTTGGGCCCGGCCGGATTGAGCGCGCCAACCCAATCCGGCAACGGCAATGGGCAACGGCGATTCGGCATTTGTCTTACGAAGTGGCAACAGGGCCGGAGATTCGACACAGTCTGCGGCTTATGGACGCCCTAATTTGCACATTTTAAATGGTCTCGAGTCTTTTTATGAAACTTAAACGGCCCACGCCTCCATGCCGCCGCCTCCGCCTCCGCCCACACCCAGGCCCATGGCCGGGCTGTCTGTCCTAGGAAAGGTCGTAAGTGGGCGACGGGATTAGCACGGCGAAAAGATTTACGCGCCGTCGCCCTTTTTTATGGCCACGAGTGTTGGCTATTCGCGCGAAATTGAAAAGTTTTGAAACCTTTTTGTCCAGGCAGCCAAGCAGCCATCCATTCCATCCCATCCCATCCATCCCATCCATCTATTCACTCACTCAGAAAACTGTTTTGTGTCTTACAGCAGGGGGAGCAGGGAGCCGCGGCGACGGCTGCCACAAATGTGGCGGCAACAGCGCAGAGCTGCATTAGCCAGGGCTTTGGCCAGGCCAAGAACTATGGCACGCTGAGTCCCTCGGACGATGGCCAGCTGCCCGAGACGCTCACCTATGCCTGGCACAATGTGGACATATTCGGTGCAGTGCATCAGCCCGGCTCCAACTGGCGCCAGCTGGTGAATCGGACGCGCGGCCTCTTCTGCAACGAGCGCCATATTCCGGCACCGCGAAAGCATCTGCTTAAAAATGGTAAGTCCCAAGGATCCCAAGAACCTACTCCAGCTCCATTTATTCACTTGCTGTACTTTCGCAGTCTGTGGCGTTGCCTATCCGGGCGAACTGCTGGCCGTGATGGGCAGCTCAGGAGCCGGCAAGACGACGCTGCTGAACGCGCTGGCCTTTCGCTCGCCCCATGGCGTCCAGGTGTCGCCGTCGAGCATGCGGCTGCTGAATGGCCAGCCCGTGGATGCCAAGGAGATGCAGGCGCGCTGCGCCTATGTGCAGCAGGACGATCTGTTCATTGGCTCGCTGACCGCCCGGGAGCATCTGATCTTCCAGGCGATGGTGCGCATGCCCCGCCAGCTGACCTATAAGCAGCGAGTGGCCCGCGTCGATCAGGTCATCCAGGAGCTCTCGCTCAGCAAGTGCCAGCACACGATCATTGGAGTGCCGGGCAGGGTGAAGGGTCTCTCCGGTGGCGAGCGCAAGCGCCTGGCCTTTGCCTCCGAGGCCCTGACAGATCCGCCGCTGCTCATCTGCGACGAGCCCACGTCGGGCCTGGACTCCTTTACCGCCCACAGTGTCGTCCAGGTGCTGAAGAAGCTATCGCAAAAGGGCAAAACCGTCATACTGACCATACATCAGCCATCGTCGGAGCTCTTCGAGCTGTTCGACAAGATACTCCTCATTGCCGAGGGACGTGTCGCATTCCTTGGCACGCCCAGCGAGGCCGTGGACTTCTTCTCCTAGTAAGTAGTCCCAAACGGACTTTAGTCGAGCTCTATTCAAATCCCTATGATCTGCCCCAACTCAACTCCGACTACCTCGCAGCGTTGGCGCCCAGTGTCCGACCAACTATAATCCGGCGGACTTCTATGTGCAGGTGCTGGCCATTGTGCCGGGCCGTGAGGTGGAGTCGCGTGAGCGCATTGCCAAGATCTGCGATAATTTCGCCATTAGCAAGGTGGCACGCGACATGGAGCAGCTGCTGGCCACCAAGGCGCTGACACAGCCGCTGGAACAGCCCGAGAATGGGTATACGTACAAGGCCACGTGGTTCATGCAGTTCCGTGCCGTACTCTGGCGCTCCTGGCTCTCGGTCCTGAAGGAGCCGCTGCTGGTCAAAGTGCGGCTCATACAGACCACGGTAAGTCCGTTGATTGATCTATGAAGTCCGATGTTCGATGTCGAACGTCCGATGTTCGATGTCGGAAGTCCGATGTCCGTTGTCCGTTGTCTTATATCCAAAGTTGGATGTCCGATATTCCTTGACTAAAGTCCGTCTGACGTCCGATGTCCGCGGACTGATATCCAAGGTCGGATGTCCGATTACCTATGACTGAAGTCCGACGCCCAAAGTCGGAAATCCGATGTCGGAGGTCCGATGTCCGAGGACTGATGTCTTAGGTCGGATGTTCGATATCGTATGACCGAAGTCGGAAGTCCGATGTCCAATATCTAAGGTGACTGAAATCCGATGTCCGATGACAGATATCCAATATCGGATATCCGATAACTGATTTCCGATATCGCTTATCCAATGAGTGATCCTATCTTCAACTATGCTTATAATATTGTTATTTAATCATATTTCCAGATGGTAGCTGTGCTGATTGGCCTCATTTTTCTGGGCCAGCAGCTGACGCAGGTGGGCGTGATGAACATCAATGGAGCCATATTCCTCTTTCTGACCAACATGACCTTCCAGAATGTCTTTGCCACGATCAATGTAAGCAAAACACCCCCTAACCACGCTCACTCCCCACTCTAATCTATGGCTCGCTTTTCCCGTTGCCCAGGTGTTTACGTCGGAGCTGCCGGTGTTTATGCGGGAGGCGCGCAGTCGCCTCTACCGCTGCGACACCTACTTTCTGGGCAAGACCATAGCGGAGCTGCCGCTCTTTCTGACCGTTCCGCTGGTCTTCACGGCGATTGCGTATCCGATGATTGGGTTGCGGGCGGGTGTGCTGCACTTCTTCAACTGCCTGGCACTGGTCACACTGGTGGCCAATGTGTCCACCTCGTTTGGCTATTTGATATCCTGTGCCAGCTCCTCCACGTCGATGGCACTGTCGGTGGGTCCGCCGGTCATCATACCGTTCCTGCTCTTCGGCGGCTTCTTCCTCAACTCCGGCTCGGTGCCCATCTATCTGAAATGGCTGTCGTATCTGTCCTGGTTCCGGTACGCCAACGAGGGCCTGCTGATCAATCAGTGGGCCGACGTAGAGCCCGGCGAAATCAGTTGCACCTCCTCGAACACCACGTGCCCCAGCTCCGGCAAGGTCATCCTGGAGACGCTGAACTTCTCCGCCGCGGATCTGCCACTCGACTATGTGGGCCTCGCTCTGCTCATTGTGGGCTTCCGTGGTTTTGCCTACCTGGCGCTGCGACTACGTGCCAGGCGCAAGGAGTAGGCCCAAAACTTAATACATAC